GCCCCCTTTAAGAATGATCTAAAGAGATCTAAGATCTGAAACGTTTATACAAAGAGTCTCACGATCAATGTCAAACATTTATTTATTTTATCAGTGACCCAGAAATAACGTTTTCAACTAAAAGGTGTTTTGGCCGTTCATTTATACTACGTCGTTTTGGGGGCCTGAAAACACAAACTTTTGAAAATGGGTTTCCACAGGCACGTTTTTGAAAACGATATCATTATCATCTCTGTGTAAACTACAAAAACATGAATTTGAGAAAACGGTGACGTCATGCGTGTTTTGTGGATCAGTGTGAATGGGGCTCGTTTTGACAATGCTGTTTCAGTAAGTGAAAACTTTTCAAAAAAGCAAGGAAAAAAATTTCCGTTTTTTTGTACATCGTTGTCGTGTGAACGTACCCTCAATCTGATTTTAAATTCCAATGACCTCAGATCCCACTGTGCAATTTAATTCAATAACATAATAAAATAAAATAAAATAATTGAAAAATAAAAAACTCACATCACGTCCAATAAGGTCAATGTTATTCTCAATTATCCCCCAGGGTGTGATCCCTACAACATTCCTCTTCCTGTGGTCATGTGATCCATACAGTTTTACAGCATCACCAACATACTTAGACACACCTGGATGCAAGGAGAAATAATGTCCAGTTGTTATTGTTATTGTTAATTAAAACTATTAAAAATTGTTTTCAGTAATTAAAATAAAAAAAAATTGATTGAAAGCTAAAAATGTTGCTTTGTCAACTAACTGAATTAAACTAATAAAAACTAATAAAATAAAAATAAAACTGTAAATATTAAAATAAAATCAAAGTAAATAATAATCAAAATTAAAAAAGTAAATAATACTAAGATAACACTGATAAGGTCATAATGAATTACAGGTATGCATAAACTCTCTCTGATAGGCCTATCAAATAAGCTACTGTACATGTACTTCAACACATAACTACTTCACTAGAATCAAGTGTGATAGAAAACACAAGAACTTTAAAGTGCATTCCAGATATACCACTAGCACCCACAAACACAAACCCGTATTGATCCCATCAGTCAGTATCCAAGCTCCAGTGCTCTCTGCAGCTGTGATGAGCCCTGCGCTGAAGGCCTGGCACACCCGTGGAGACAGAGGGAAGTTTTCAGTCCCTCCGTGCACGGATATCACCAGCTTGGGCATCTCCATGTGCCATTCTCTCAGCATCAGCTGCACCAGGAGCTCTGGTGGAGTGTCACAGGAAAGACGCACATACTGTAGAGAAAGGAGCACTTTATGTACTATGCGTGATCCTATATTATATATGCACTGTTTAATAGGCATCTAGTCGATACGTTTTTTTGACCTTGTATGCACTAACCTTGGCACGACATGTGCGCTTTGTGCTGCCCTGGAAGTCCAGTGATCCAAAAGCATCGGTGGGGCTGATGCTGGTGTGTCGTAGCACTGACCATTCCTCATCGGTAGGGTCTGCCCCTGGGTAATGTTCCAGCAAGCCAGAGTATGGTCCCACATGCTCCGCGATCAGCCTCCCACAACAACATCTGAGGACAGAGATGACATGAGTGAGATGAAGAGACCACTTTGAGACTGTTGAAACTTCAGATTTTCATGATTTCCCACAGCTTTTGACCAGTGAATTACTATGACTTTTTCCAGTCATGATTACTGGGTGAGGAACTGAAAGATTATTTCATAGAGATCGTACTCACGAAGAGCAATATCTTTACAATGAAATATTTTGGCTGAGCATGACTATACAAAAAAAAATGTATACTGTAGCCACAAATTAACAATTAGTTCCCACAACTTACTAATGCGTCGGCATTAGTTCCGTCGTTTTAAGTAAATTGTGCGCACAATATAATGTTTTGTACCCTTGATTTATTAACATGGCCACGTTGTAATAATTTTTTGCTTTAGTTAAATCTTGACCATGGGTGACTAGAAAAAATTTCATTGCCAAAATTAAAATTTCTGTGAGCTGTGACTGTGAGCTTTAACATAAAAATGAGAAAAATGGAAATAAATAGAGAATGTATGTATACTGATGATCAAAATAAATAATATTAATACCTTACTAAGCTTTGGCACACTTGACACACTGGATAACACCTGCAAAACAGTAGAAATTGCTATTCATAAGGGTCTTTTAAGAGGAAATGAATAACCTAAATTACACTTGATTAACTAAAAGTATCATCACTAAAAGATAATATGCAGACATGACAACCAAGATTATTAAGCACACCTGTGATGATCACGTGAGGCTGGCAGAAATTTGACACATTCTCTCTTGTAAAAAGTGGCCTGGATCCAAGTAAGTCTAGACTGAAAGGAAAAGAAGTTGTAATGTTTGTCATATTATAGGCCACTATAACAACTACATTAGTTGTTATTGTTGACTACAACTATTATAATTTTTTATCCATTAAAATAAATGGGATATAAAATATTAGATAAATATGGGGAATGTAAGTTGGAAGTATACAATTCTTAAAACTAAAACAATACATTAAATTAATAAAAATGACAAAAACAACAAAATTACTTAAGACATAAAACTAAAATTAAAACGGTTAAATATTAGTAAAATATCACTGACATGTGTGTGTGTTCCTGGTAAACCTTATTTGGTGGGGACATTGGTTCCCATGAGGAAACCATGATGTGTTTTTGAAAATGTAGCCTAATTATGCAGGTTTTCTGTGAGGGTTGTGTTTAGGGGTAGGGGAATGGTTAAGGGGTGTAATATACAGTTTATAAAATATAAAAATCATTATGTCTATTAAGTCCCCATTAAACATGGAAACCTTTGTGCGTGTGTCTGTGTGTTAGTGTGTGATGCAACATACCATTTCCCCTCAAATCTCTTTTACAATAGTCAGTCAGTCATGAATACTTTCAGCATTGCAGATCTTTGCTAGAAAAAAAAAAACAATGCTTTTAGCGTGCGGTGGAAAATTACGTACACATCCTTTTCCGGGAATTATTGAGTGAAATTATGAGACTCAAATGAGAAACAAAATTAAGAACTTAAAATACCGCCATCTGGCCGAAGAAATGAGAACGAATAAAGGGTGGAGAAAACAGTGACCGAAACAAAACATACAGTACTTACACTAACTGTACAAATGCATTCGTGCATTTGAACGAAAAGAGGTCGCAAACTCTTGTAACTATACGCATGCATAACAACAATCCTGTGCGGAATGGGAGATGAGATAACTGAAACACAAGTTTTAACATGCCTTAGAGAAAATCCCTGTAGGATATAAGTTTTCGTTTAATCCAAAAAGGCAATTACCCGAGATAACATACTGCTGCTTAGCGCTTTATTTACCTGTGTAATAGTCTTGTTTTCCCAGTCATGCTTTCCATAAATTCAGCGTACTCTTATTCCTGCACTAAACGGGCATAATTGAAGAGGTGCGATGATCTAGGAAGTGGGTGGGCTTTACCAAGTGCTGTAAAGTGTCGAGTGTGGACATGCAACTGGAACTTGTGTTTCGTTCTGGGAAGCTCGTGCTTATCCAAGAGAGACCGATTGTAGTTGTTGCATAACATCACAAATGTAACTTCATTCTTGACTTTCCTCCAGTAAAAGTTTCGAAATGTTTTTCAAATGCTTATTGATTTTTTTTTTCTCGCGTAAAGTGTCATTTTGCACTGGTTTCAAGAGCATTGGAGCAAAAAGGGAAAATGAGTTCGTCAATGACTAACTAAATGCGCACAGGCTGTTAAGTGTAGTTAAGGAGGAGCGCAAATAATGGAAAGACCGGCGTCATTCCAGACTGTCACGGGATGGCATCTTTATAAACAAACAATGTTTAGTTATAAAATTGTTAAATGTTTTGCAAAATAAGTATCTAACATAGTTGCAAGTAGCAGTCATTAGGATTAAATGCACATAAACACGCGATTATTCATATAATTATAATTCTATTTTTAATAGTAGGCTACAGTTTAAAACCAAAGCCGTGCCATTTCTATGTAAATTGTTTCCCACTGTTATAGCGCCCTCTTCTGTCCAAACCGGATGAAACTTTGCATGCTTCTCATATTTCATATTTTTTCCACTTTCCATAATAGTAATGCAGGCTACATCATGAAAAATATGTATTCATTTAAATACTAATAGATCCTCTCACCTGTCATCAGAGGTGTGGAGCTTGATTCTCACATGCTTTCCATTTTTATTTCTGTTGCCATGCACTAGTTAAGTCTAAAACAAACTTGTCTAGTAAATACTTGGAAAGAGGAAACCGACCTCTAAAGTGAGCTCAACATTAGGTTTTTGGTATTTTCTTCTTTGTTGTCCTTGAGGTTAAAGCGTGTCTCTAAAGTAGAGCTGTTTCAGTAGCTTAAATCCTAACAAGGCCGCACATTGTTTTCATCTTCCATGCACATCCCACTTACAGATATTTCCATGTTTTCCCAGAGGACCACCTAAATGGGACAAAGTATCAAAACTTGGCTTACCATTGTATCATTTTACTTGCATGCTTATTTTAGCTTAGCAAATGAACATGATTATCTGCATGCTGATCACTTGCGATGCAATCTCCTGATAAAGCTGCAATGCTCTCAGCGCTTATTACCTCCAAGACCAAAGGTCATGAGTACCTGACAGAGGTATGTTTCATTTCCTTTGGATGAGGAATGAGGAAAGAGATCACGTCTACTCAATGGGCCGTAGTTCAACTGTAAATGTTAACTGTGATGTACTTTACAACGTCAAAAAGTAGAATCATGACAAGCTTAGACAGAAACCAAAGACAATGTAAGGCAAGCCAATATCAGGCATTTAAGAAAATTGATTTATTGCTGTTGGGCAATTTCAAAAACACTGCAGTTACAGACCAATGGAACATACAAAGCTCTTGCTCCATCTACTAAGTTCAGAAGCACCAAATACTGTTGTCGAAAAGATAATGTTAGTCAGAGGAAAGGAACACAGCCACAAATTTTATTTAAAAAAAAAACAACTAAAGAATAAAAGTGACTAATACCTTTAAGCACCATAAACAGTGCTAAAAATCTGGCTCAGTTCAAGTAAAAGAAAGGCTTTGGGTCACCTTCAAAATTTTAAAACTTTACAGCTACTAACAGAAAAAAAACAGTTGAACATGGACAGTTCAATACAGCATTATGCTGTCACACTTCTGAGCACATGATTCAAATAGGAGAGGACTGAGTTCACATGACCATGACGTGTGGTGTTGCTTGTGTTGGAGGCTCACAAATTATAAAAAGCACACGGCTTTGCTCATACATTCATCTAGTGCAGATCAGGAGGAATCATCTCATGTCCAGTCGCGTGATTTGGCAACACCTATTCAACATCTAAACAAGAATGAACCTGTCACTGTGCATTGGCGATCTCCTCAGGTTTCCATCGCCTCTAAGTCTTTGGTGGAAGAGGCTGTGCAGGACCCAGCTGAGGGTTTAGTCTCCAAGAGAGAGAGATCCAACTCAGGCAGTGGAACCTGCCAGAACTGGAAGGAATTGAATGGAGAGAGGTCCTCATCTGTGTGCATCACCTAGTGGGATAAAAGTAGAGCTAAATATCCAAAGCATTCACTACAGCAAACATTTGCACCAACAAAGGTGAACAGAAATAGAATATGCTAAAAGTACCTAAAAGTTTATTAGTTTTGCCCCTGGTTTCACAGACAAGGATTAAGCCAAGTCCAAGACTAAAATGCATGTTTGAGCTTTTTTTTTCTTCTTTTTTTTTCTTCCCAAAATGATCTTAAGGGGCCCTAATATTAGACCCATTAAAACACATATTTTTTTTTTTATTTTTTTTTTTTTACATTATTGCAGCTCCTCTCTCCTCAGTTCTAGTTGAACGAGTCATTTTCGATGAAGTCCGTCCTTTTAAAATATGAAATGTGCTATGATTGGTTAGCTGGCCCAGTGTATTGTTACTGGGACGGACGGACGGAAAGATAGATAGATAGACATGTCATCATTGCACGTAAGTTACAGTATTCTACGCTACGTCACACAGTTTTATGACTTTGCTCTTGTTTGTGTAAAACTTTACCTTGTCTCCTGCAGTAAGGTTATTTTCTTCGTCTGGCAGTTTATTTGACTCAGTTTGAAGCGCGCAAGATGACCGCCGCGTGACAGCAGATCTACCAGCATCCTCGAATGTTCTAGGCTTGCATGTGTTCTTATCTGCCAGCACTGAAACAACCCTGTTTGCAGACACTTTTCTCGGCAGGTTAATGCTATCCAGCGGGTCATCGAAAAACTTTGGTCTTTTCCTGCAGCGTTCTTCAGAGAATGACAACAACGAGGATGTATTAGCGTTTTGAATCACATTCACACCTGCGACAGGGTTGTCGATGTTGAAGAGAGAACGAAAACTTCTTTTACTGGGGATTTCGGGAGGCAAAATGTTCTCTGCTCTCCGCTTGGTCATCTGTGCGATGGCCTACCCAAATTATTCAGAAAAGTTCAAACTTAACATATACAAAAGAGCGGCAAGACTTTTTTTGTACGCAGAGGGGCATTCAATTTCAATATTCTAGCCATTTACGACAGTTGTGTCGTAACTGAAGTTGAACCGCATGTTTGAATCATAGGTTTGAATACAGCGCCCTCTGTGGCCAGAGAGGTCGAACAACAATAACATCGTTTATCTTATTATATAGTAAAAAGCTAGACGGTTGTGAATGTGAATAATATAAACTATAAGAGTAAATGTTTAAACACATTAACTAACTTCCTAATAACTAATGTTAAGTTTGTGTGGTGAACAATAGACAGTCTTAAAGGCTTACATACAGTCTTTGAACAATAAACAGTATTAAAGACTTAACAGTCTTTGTATATAATTCAATAATATTCCAAATTTTCTTAATTGTAAAACAGTTTTATTACAATATGTACAAGATCATGAAAATCTGTTAAGTTTAAAACAACTTTATTTTAGTGCTACCAACAAATACAATTTTAATGGCCAGCAAGTTTCCTCAGAGAGACTGGAGTAGCTGCGCTAGTCAAGATACAAAGTAGGCTCTGTGAATACGATTTTGGACATGAAAACGGTGGTAGTGTAAACAAATACAAGAAAAACACTGAAATGTATGTGTGGAGTGACAATCGGCATTAGTAAGATGTGAAGCAGAACCTGAAACCTGAGGAATATGAATGCAAAGCAATGCACCAAAACATGACATTTTTGGTAAATGTCTGAAATTGTTCAGTACATGATAAAGCTCCAGTCTTATTGTATTATTACCAGGAATATAATGCTGACATTCATGATTAAAATCCTCAGTTTATTTTTTGGGCTATTTGTCTGTGAATTCAGCCAGAAGTTCAGCCTTGTAAACATCATGTTGAGTTTCGAGTCTGTAAAGAATCCTCAATCTTGCCATCTTTAGGTGTCTCATCTCCATTCATCAACTGTTCTGCGGGTTTCCGTACAATAAAAAAGACACAGTCGTAAAGGTATTTGAGCATGGAGCGATCGTTCTCCGTGTATGTGCTGGCCACAGACTCTCTCTCCAACTGTGAAAAGAAATACAGTAACAATTTATTACAGTATTACTGTTAATAATAATTGAAACAGTTGATAATTAACTGTTTACCTCTAGGACAAATCCATATTTTAAAATGACAGCCTTTATGTCCTCATAGCTCAGCTCAATGGACAATTCATTAGCCATATTCTCATAGTGGTAAAGTAGTGGACCTTTGAGAACAAATACAAAGAAATCTTTCAACCACACCTGATAACATTTGACTGTGAATGATTAAGATTATACAGAATTTGACTTACCCAAATTTATCCAGACACCACCAGGTTTTAGAATATTCCAGATGGTTTCAATGTAATCAAGAACATTGTGGGCAGTGTCAATGAAGAAGCAAGTAGCAACACAGTCCCACATTTCTGTATGGGAGATGCAACTTAAAATTCTGTCTCCATTTAACTGTCATTTACAATTAGGTTGATGTTTATAAAAAAAAAAAAAACTCACCAGGGTCACTGTATACTTCCTGGAAGTCTCCAGCGACCATAGAGAAGTCAGAGTCTGCTGGAAGACTCTGTGGATTGACATCAGGAAAGGACACAGGTCTTGTTTGGTCTGAGGACATTTTGTTATTACTGAACTGGTGAATCCAGGGATACAGAGTCAAAGCATTCTCCTCATCACACCTGAGAGACAAATCATATCAGTTAGTTTCCTCCTTATTACAGATGTTATATCGATGCTCGATTCAAATCTGCTTTCCTAGAACTCAAAGAAGTTCAACCAGGGATACAAGTTCTAGTATACTTTACCTTATGCCTCTAAATTAATTACACAACGTAACATGTCACTAATAATAAATAGAGGGCGTACCCCAAAAGGGTATTATTACAACATGTTGTTAAGACCAACAGAGAAATATATTAAATATAACACATAAAATTAGCTATATTTATGTGAATGGTACTACTTAAATTGTGAAGATTTTAGTGTGTTGTACCTATTCAGAACAAAATTAGAGGAGAAGAGCATGAAGAAACTCCACTCGTTTCCTTGGCACGAATAGCCCAGATGAGCAATTTCCCATGCAAGTCGACCTAGACCAGACCCGGGCACTAGCACTCTTACCTGGGACACATCACTGTAGAGAGAAATATAACTCAAAACTAATTTCTTTCCAAATTAAAAGTTGAGCCCATTTGACTAAACATAAGAATGCTAAATTCATTTAATCAACAGACATTTTTCCAAAAATAATACATTTTTCCAAGAGTTTGAGTCAATATTTTTATGCAGTAAAGGTAACTTGATCAATGGTACAAAAGATTTCTATATCAAGTAAAATATTGATAACACACTGATAATAATAAGAATATCTATTGAACACCAAATCAGTATATTAGAATGATTTCTAAAGTATCATGTGACACTGAAGCCTGGAGGAATGATACTGAAAATGTATGACATTTTAAAATTGTTAGTTTAAATTGTAATAGTATTTCACAATTTTACTGTTTACAAAAATCTTACTGACCCAACCTTTTTAGGTAGTGTATGTATATATATATATATATATATATATATACTGCATGCACTTTATACTTCAACAGTAGACCGTATGCTTGACTACAGAATGACATCATATTTACCACTGGTCTGGAGGAAATAGTCTCTGAATCTCCTCTATAATAGGTTTGTAGCAGCTGTCCCTTTCAGCCTTTCCTGCTGCACTCCAGTCACGGACAAACTGCTTTATGGTTGACTTCAGCTTGTCCATGTCAAAAGTTGAAGAAGGCCGTACTTTCCTTGGGTCACTCTTTGAAAAGCAGGAAAACTATTAGATTAATTGACTTACTACTAAACAGGATAATAAAAAAACACACTGCCATCACAACATCCAAATAAAAAAATACAACATTATTAATTGTAAGACCTACTGATTGCCACCTACATCCTGTCCATATTCCATGTTCTCAAACATATCTAGGCAGTTGTTCACTATGGCCTGCATCACCTCCTGGTTTCGGTCAATACAGTAGCGGATCTTGCTCAGATTGGGCAAGAAGTTTGTCAAAAGTTGCTGGTGGTGATCTGGAAGACATCGGAACTGCCGCTCGGCTCGATTCACTCGTTCGTGAACATGAATTCTGAACACAGTGGGAGACACAATATATAGACAGAGGACAAAGTAAATTGAAGGGAGAAGAAAAAAAATATGTGTATATTATATATATATATATATATATATATATATATAGAGAGAGAGAGAGAGAGAGAGAGAGAGATCTGGTCAAGACCAGTCTTAAGTCTTGATCTTAGACTTCTTCTTCTTCTTATCTGTCTAAGGCTTGGTCTTATAGCTGACGTCACAAACTGACAATAAAAACATAGCCAGATCAAATCAAATAATTAAAACACAAAAAGAAAAATACCTACAACATTGGACAGACGTAAAAGCCCAACCCAGTAAACTGGAATGCTATTTGGCCCTACACAGAAACTATGAATTGGCAGGATACCTGAGCGCAGTGAGTGACCCTAACCTTAGAAACGTCCTGTGTGTGTACTACAGACTCAGTGAACACAGTTTCACCACAGAGACAGGGCGACACAGACAGACCTGGCAGCCAACGGCTGTGCCCTCACTGCAGAGAATCAACCCTTCTTATACAAGCATTAGAGACACTGTTATAAATAGCAGAAGATTAAAAAAATATTTATTGCTATGTTTTTTAATGTAAAATTTGTATTTTATTATTATTATTATATCGTGTTATTAATGCTTTGCCAATGTAAAGATTTATTTCAATATTCCAATGAAGCTATCTGATATATCTGATGATTTTGTGTAGTTATATATGTTTGTATTTAGAGAGTGAGATAGATAGATAGATAGATAGATAGATAGATAGATAGATAGATAGATAGATAGATAGATAGATAGATAGATAGATAGATAGATAGATAGATAGAATCCAAATTGTATAAGGAGAATACAAAAAAATGGCTCAATTATTAGTGGCCAAGAATGTTATGTTGGTGTTGAGCAGATGGGACTTATATGCACCAGCAATGTTTACCTGTAGTATTTAAACGCGTTCATGACATTCCAGAAATGCTGTCTCTCTAATTGCGCCTCTTCCTCGGGTGAACAAGTAATCCTTTCCCGATAGTTGTAAAATACCTCTGTTTTTGAACCTGCTAGTGTTTCATCCTTGCCGTCAGCCATTGTCGCTCAATGTAGGCGTAAGTAATCGATAACCGGCAACATAACTGAATACAGGGAAGATAATGGAACCTGCACAGTCGATTTGTGGGTTCATTGATCGTGATCGTCTATGATCGTGATAGATTCGATAGTTTGTTGTGTGTGTCAAGTCAACTACAGTCAATGTATCAACTTAGTTTATAAATTATCTGTTTTTATGTAAAGGAATACTAAACAAAACCAGCTCTGTATTGAGAATTCCATATAACACAAGTAGCATTTATAATTTTAATAGAATGAATCGTTAAACTATACGATAACGAATAGGCTACAGCAGTGAAATGTTGTATCATGTAAATAAATATCTCTGTACTACTGATTTATGCAACACATTTAGAATTTGAACTACCACTGTCTTCAAATCAAAATCACATTTTAACATGCATTGTGTAAATATGCAGCCTTTTCAAATTAAATGAAAGAAATTGTCTTTGTAATATTTAAGCAGACATTATGTCAATAACAAAATTGTATACCTAGTTGTAGACCCACTTTTTCCTCTATTTTTGTTTTTGATTATGTCTATGCGCTCAAAGGCTGTAGAATGCCCATAATGCACTGTGAGAGTCCAGTCGCGCGCTGAATGAACTCCAGCGTCTCGCCAGGAGGTGGCGCCGCAGCTCTCCATTTTTCAAACCACGCAGGAGGTCGTTTTTATTTCATACAGGTACAGGAATTTCTATCATACAGGATACAATTCCTTTTTAATTGATTATTAAATTGTTTAATTATGGTGATGATTACAATGTTCATACAGTTTCCATGACAAAGTTCAGGATAAAAAAAATGTATTAGGGCCACATGGCTTATGGAGCTGCCAGTTTCAATTAAACAGCAAGCACAAACAATGCAAATGCGGCAGCCCTTCCGAATGCGCACCTCACTCGTTTTCATGTACTCGTTAAAGTGGGCTATATTAGTGGAGTCGGGTAATAAATGTAGGTAGGGAATAGCGAATGGGGGGATATGGGGCGATTTCGAACACAACACAGCATGAGAATTCATTCAGCGCGCAACTCTCGTATTTGCATGATGATTTGTAATTGTTTCAATGTTAGCACTCTTGGTCGGCGTTACGTCACTAATCATGTGACCTGCATAGCAACCGTCCACGAAGGGTAAAACAAACCGAAGTCAATGCCCGAGGCAAATTAAAAAGGTAATGTTATGTCTGTAAAAGGCGCTAGCAGCTATATGAATACATATCTTCATCTTCTACAGAATGTCTTATCAATATATAGACAGTCTCCTAGCGCCTGCATTGACCAGGTACCACAGAAAGCTATCGCTTGTAGGTTTAACATTACAATATTGTCCCTATCGGCATCCAGCTGAGTCAAGTGGCTGTAATGAGCTCAGCCTGTCAATGGCTCAGCTTGTACAATGTCAGTGAGGGACACAGTTTTTTTTTTTTTTTTTTTTTTCTCAAAAAAGCCAAAAAAGGTTAACTGCATACATGTATCTTATTCCCCACACAACTAACGTTAGTGCATTTCATTGTTGCTTATCAGTGTAGAGCTGCCAACCAGGCATAGCAATGTGTATAACATAGCAACATAAAATTGAGTGACCATCTCTGCAGTGGTATTATTTTGCTATTCTTTGATTTGTCCCTCAATTTGTCCATGCATTTGAGATTACATTTCCATTTAGATTTATTTTAGGGGCTTGTTTATCTTCCGCTTTCGTGTTGCTTAATGGCGGGCGCTTGTTTGTTTTACGCTTCGCCGCGTTGCTATGCGCGCACAGGAGTAATCTTGAATGGCCATTTCATAAGGGCACGGTTTCGATGTCTGAGGTCTAGGCCGCTGTGGGGAGGAGAAACTGTTTACAGCTACCTTCGCTAGTAAACTCATTACTATTTCTGTATCTGACCACGCCAAATCACTTCAGCACCACCAGGCTGGCCATGGCTCTTCCGATAGCCTGGGCGGTGGTCTTCGTGGCATACAGGGCCAGGTCTGTAGTGTTGCATAGGGTAACGAAATGCGGCTGGGTCTGGTCCAGACCAAATACCTGGAAGACTGCCATGGTTATGGCTTGTGTAGTTGCTTTAGTATTATTAGTTAAAGGCTTCAATATTCAGAGAAAAATGTGATTTATCAAAATGAGTAAAGCATTTTAAAATAATTTTAATGATAGTGCATTCAGTTAATCAATGTTTAATTTAGTGTGTTATAATGGAATGCTATTTAAATGAAACAAATTATAGAGGAAATGAAACTTAAAAACATTTCTGAGAAATATCAGATCTTTGATACTTCTAACACATGAGCCTGTGTGATAGATTAAGCTACTACTTAAAGTTAACAGTTTACTGATCACAAAGTGATCCACCACTAAAATTTACAGAATAAAATGATGGGTTTTTAAACTTAACTCTTGTAATTTCTTGAATTTTCATTAAAAAAATCTTACAAAATGAATACAGAATATATACAAGGATTTACCTGTCAAAAAGCTTCAGTTGAAACTTTCCTTTGTTTCTAGATGCATAAAAGGAAACCACAGAAACAGGCAGTTTAAGATGTCTAGTTGTTGAAGAGGATGTGAGATTTTGTCCTCTGTGAGTTTTTCCGACCTTAAGACATCAGTCGCAAATTACATTGGTCACGACAAACTGTTGCTCTGTAAAGTTACTGTCATAGGTTTTGTGATCAGGATTGTCAAACCAACACACTAAGATGAAAGATACTTCGAGGTGGTTTTCATCTTGATTTATATCAGTCCAAAATAAAACATGTCAATAGTTGAGATCTTACTTCCTTTAGGTTATGCTTAGAAGACCACCTAAAGCTGCGAAGACAAAGATGTGATTTGATCACAGATTTCAGAAAGCATAAAATCAATTTAATCGTCTCCTCCTGAACTGATCTGATGTGTTGTGAAGGTGCTTTCTTATCTGGTCTACCAGAGCAATTTCACTGAACACAAGCTTAGTGTTTCTATGCACCGAAAAGTCCTTGTACCAATAGTATTGAAAAATCAGAATTGGTCTGTTGAAGTCTCTGGTGACTAAAAAGCTGTGATGCAAATCAGCAATCAGTGGTGAAGATTTTAAAGTGAAATTGACATTCGAAGGCCAAGTATGTTAACCCACTCGGAATTTGTTCCTTGCATTTAACTCGTTCAAGCTAGTGCACACAGATTAGGAGTAGTAAGTAGTGTACACACACTGCAATCCATAGACACACACCCATTTTTTGTTGTGGCGCCTGGGGAGCGATTGGGGGTTAGGTGCCTTGCTTAAGGGAACCTCATTTCCAGACGGTATTGAGAATCTGACCCACAACCTTTGGGTTACCAGTCTGACTTTCTAACTATTAGGCCACAACTCCCCCTTAAAATGTCAGCTTTTAAAACAAAATAGGAAGAGTTGAGTCTCAAATGTATTATTAAGTTACTGCCCTCTGAGATTGATAACCTCTGAGACACTTAACAGAAAGTACCATAAAAAACAGAGATCTTGCAAGGACTCAACCCCAAATCCTCCGGCTTGTAATAGTTTGTGTGTGTGTGTGTGTGTGTGTTTGTTTGTGTGTGGCATACACAACCAACACCCTACGGATGCAAGAGTGAGCTACCATGCTTCTCTCTGACTCATTTTATTTCTCCGTGGGCAGAATTCTTTCGGGTGTGGCGATCTCACAATAATTGTTTACCAGGGCATTATAAGTCAAGATTTAGTTTGCTTTGATTAAAGTCAGCTCTTATGAAGTCTTGCAAATAAGTTATTTTAAAAAGACCTTAATTTAAAAAAAAAAAAAAATGATTTAGAAGCATGCATAGATGCTTTGAAATTGCATTGATTAATCTTGAAGAGAACTTGCCGAAAACTTGATAACATCACTTCGGAAGGGTGTTCCGACACACTATGTGCCAACAACTCTAACTGTAACACGATGACTCCAACTGTAACATGATGCGCCAAGCCAACTGTAACACGATGACATTCGATCTTGAAAGCAGATGTGATTGTTTATATATTAATAAAGTAACACTGGAATCAATCAATATTATAATTTACTATAGCACTTATTGAAGTCCCAGGACAGGTTTCAAGTACATTTGACAGTACTTTCAAAGATAAAGGTAATGTAATCAGCAAATAAAACTTAAAATGTATTTATTAGGGCTGTCAAACGATTAATCGGAAATAATCGCATCCAAAATAAAAGTTTGTGTTTACATGTGGGTGCACTGTGTATTATTATATATATATATATATATATATATATATATATATAAATACACACACATGCTTGTATATATTTTAAGAAATATGTATATAGTGTATATAAATTTATATATAATTTATATTATATATAAATATTTGATATATAAATACTATTTTTTCTTAAATATACATGCATGTGTGTGTATTTATATATACAAAATAATTATACACCGTGCACCCACATATATTATGTAAACACAAACTTTTATTTTGGATGCGATTAATCGCGATTAATCGTTTGACAGCCCTAGTATTTATCATTGTATATTTATTAAAAATGTATTATAATATTCATTATTTATTATTGCTTCAAACATATTATCACAACAAGATTACAAAATAGAGGCATCATCTCTTGGTATGGAGTTTATTTTATTTTGAATGTTTTATACACATTATTTTAAGGTGTCATTGTTACAGTGTAATTGTCATGGTTAGTTGCAATGAATGCAGGATCTGATTCTAAACGCAAGTAATATTTATTTACACATAACTCAGGGAAGATAAACATGAACAGAACATCCTAACCATAGGCACCGTAGAACTAACAGAACTGAACAGAACCAAACAAAGTGACTAATCAAAGCAACGAGACAACTAACGAGGGAACTGATAAACATAACAACAGGTAATAGGAATCAAACAATGAGGCAGTAGAAAACTGGGTCAAATGAATGGTTACACAGTCAAAAATGAAGTTATTATATACGTATATCAATATATACTTCTCTATTATTATTATTATAGATTTATTTAATATTCCATCAAACATTTACATATTATTTTATCACACAAAAAAAAAATAGATGGTAGAGGGTAAGGGTTAGCTGTTAACCCAGCTATACAGGTCACTGTACACTTTTTTATGCTTAGAGAGCTGGTCATAATGCATGCAAATATGACAGAGTCTCTCTCTCCAGTCTGTGTACAATCTAACATCATAGTAATGGTGCCATCTAAAATAAGATTCATAACGCTCTTTATCAGCGGCCACTTGACTTAAGAAAGTAGCCAGCGCCTTGACGCTGCTGAAGTCATTTACATGGATGAATGATTCCGGCGGAATTGATAGTTCATAAATGTTCCTGGGTGGGCCGAGCACTACCGGCACACTCCCTGCCTGAAGGGAGTTCTGCCACAGCTTCTCCGAAATATAGTCTGTAGATATTGAGTTTTCAAAGGCAAGGTAGAAGTAACATCGAGATATTGTGGAAAGCAGCTTTTTTTTGGAGAGCGGCCGCTTGGACCACTGACCGTATACTTCTATCCGATTTGACGGAATGTGTTTCTTCAGCTGCTGGAAAACTAGAGAGCGACTCTGATTGGCTTTGTATTTGCTGACCACCCAGCAAACTAGGCAGTCGCTCTTCTTCGGAATGACGTACGTGGCATTGGTCCTTTTAGAAACGAGTTCTCCGTATGGCATGAAGATGTCAGCATCACGGCGATAACTCATCGTCCAGTTGAACAAGCCGTTGTAGTTGCTAAGGTTGTGGTTGTTCGTGGGAGGTTCCAGCGATAACCAAAGCCACTTTTGCATAGGTGGACGTGTAAGGTGGAGAGGAAGTTTGGAGTGACCAGTCCAGAGCTCGTGGTAGTGGAACACTACAACATCTGCTTGAGTGAAGTTGGATTGGTTATCCTCCAGAAAGCATCTAGGGATTTCATATTTATCCATACAGACACCTCTTCCCACTCTGTAGGGAACTCCGAAAGGCCAGTGCCACAGGAGGATGGTGATGTTATGCTCAAGAATTTTTGGTCTGCTGGTCTCAATCTGACTCAAGAGTAGACTGTTTATACTCCAGGATAAAAAATTGTAGAGCAGCACAAAGCCAAACAGACAACAGAGGACGTGGTTATGTTGTTTCAATAATTGCATGGCACAACTACTGTGAAGACAAAGAAGTGAGGTGGGTTACAGATATTAGACAGCATCAAATCAAGTTAGTCTCTTCTCCTCCTTTTAAAAGTAGTGACTAAACCTGATGCGATGTGATAGCGTGAACATGTAGGAACACTTAATCATCACTTTGCATGCATGGTTTCAGTAACAACTTTACATGTTTTTTTTATTTATTATTTTTTAAAACTGCACTAATATTAAAGCAGGTTGGAATCAATATACTATGCACTGCCATTTTAATAGCAAAATAATGTACCGGTATTTATTTTTTTTTCTATTATGTTCGCAATAAAGGTAAATGATTTACATATAAAAAATCTATTTCTTTTTGTTATTGTATTTTCTAATATAATGCAGGCACAATTAAATAATGTACTTGCCTTGGCTTGAGAGTCCAGACTCCAGGACCAGTAGGCTAAGCAATTGTGTTTTCTTGAAAGCAGAGTGCCACTGCTTTGTGGGCGAATGACATATACACTGAAACTGTGTATCCGGCCCTGCCCCACCTCACAACCCAGAATGTTGGACACATGACACATGTGGTGCAAAGATTCACCCTGCACATGTGTAAAAGCCACACCTACTTTAGCTCAGAGGAGTCAAGATGTCTCTGTAATATTATACAAAACTACAACTTATAGCACTGTATGTGGTACAGATAATGTTTTAGCGAAATTACTGAGATGATTTTAATATATTTTTTTAATCTATAATGAACATTTAGGTTGGATTGAGCTGTTGTCCATCTGAAATGCTTTGTGGTTGATTCCACTGCAAGACAAATCACATTTGATGTGCAAGTTATATCTTTTTTTAAATCCTAACTCTCAAATTCATAGATATTTTTAGAATCTGCCCTTGTTTGGCAAAGAATGTGATCAGTCATTATTTTTTGTGGAAATAAATAATTTATAATATAATATTATTCACAAAACATATATATGTTTTATTAATCTTCTGTTGATTTTTTACAACCGTGCATGTTTAAGAAACCGCATGTGTTTTCCCTGTATTTTAGTACATTTGACAGAAAATGTACAGCTTAATTTTCCTTATACAGAATTTTTCTTAAAGTGTAATATAAACTGTATACGTTCCAAGCAGATTTTAAAGAATTGATGTCAGTTTAGTGGATGCCACAGTTTTGGCTTCTTAATGATTCATTGTTTTTTGTGAGTTGGCCATTTAAATTATATGTGATGTTGTTGTCATACAGGGATAAAAACTGTGGGTGGATGCGGTTTCCTCTTGTGGGCTGATGCGAGCCTGTTCTCGTGTTGGCTGATGCTAGAGAGAAGGAACCACAACCTGCGCTCTAACCCACACTCACTGGACATTTAGCTCTGTTATTTGTCATGAGAAATAGGCCTTAGAGATGTAGGCCCCTCAAGCTGGTGGCCCCCATGCCATAAACATCATATAAAGAAAGACACCCTATCGACTGCTACTGCATATTGACACGGTCAAACCGTGGGGCCGCCATCTTAAACCAGTCATCCTCTCCGTTCAGTACAATCTGTTTGGCAGGTACAGTACAATTGGAATACGGCCGGTTCAAGATGGCGGACGGATTTCTCAGTGCCCAGCGGCCAATAGGGCATCTAGTCTAGCCTATATATGATTTCTATGCCTATGCCACCGACCGTCTAGTTCACCTATATGCCTAGAAAGTTTAACAACGGACCAGCTAATTTATGAATGCAGATGGGAGAGGGAGCGCCATTCCCTGAACGGTTTTCCAGGCATATTTTGGTTTCAGAACAGAATTCTAATCTCATAGGCGGGCTATAAAAGGCAGACATACTGTAGTAGGCTAGGAGCAGGTGGCTGATGAGTAAGAATGTTGAAGTTAAAGAGAACGACTCCTTCAAATGATTTGTTAAAAAAAAAACTATTTGCTTACTATTGCCTTTGGTAATATTACAATCCCCCAGTTAATGGTCTTCCACAGAGTTGCCCCAGAACATCTGGCCTTTATGCGTGTCTAATGGTTGTTGGAACATATTAGGCTGTCATATTTTTTTCTGTACAAATCGTGATGCCTGTAGGAACTGTAGTCGTGCTATTTATTTCCAACAGGCTGAGCCTACTGTTGAAACCAGTGCCATGCTGCAGAGGGTGCCATTACCTTTCATTCTCACTCTCAAAACTCTTTTCAAGGGTAACTCAGTATAATAACACACAGAAGAACACTGAACAAAGATCACAGACATCCAATCCACGACAGCCACAAAAAATGTGATCTCGGATAAGTCTGTCCATCCAGGAGGGATTTACCTCAGTCCCAGAAGTAAAGCTAAAGATGAGGAGATTAAAATGTTCTCACATCAATGGAGTTACTATAAATAGCCCAGCGTCGCAGAATGATGAGGATTCAGCCGCGCATCAGTAATCCAGCTGAGGCAGCCGCTAGATTACCATAAAATCACATCTCAACTAACGTTACTTGACACATCGGTCGCGCGCTCAATGAAGAGCTCAAAGTACAATAGCAATAAGAAAGCTTCGCTAGCTACCTTTGGCTAAAGCTGACGGGTATCCGCCCACTGCTTAATGAGATGCGAATATCTGCTGCCTGTTACCAAAAGAGCTGTTCACAAACACAGCCCTGTTATTTCAGGATGTTTGGCTTTGTCACTCGCCGGGGAGGACAAAATGCATTTAAAGCGGAATCTTAAAACAACAACACTGTGATGAATACATTATAATTTGCGACTTCATTCTCCAACTCATCGAAAATGGGATTTCTACACCAGCTACACCTTCTCTTGTGGAAGAACGTGACTTTAAAACGGAGGGGACCGGTAAGACATTTTTACGCATATTTAAGTATTATTTTATTTAGGCCTTGGTGTTTTTTTGATTAGCCTAAACAACGCTAGAGATGAACGAGCAGGTGTCAATACGGATTGAGGTAGCCCATTGGATAAACAGTCTTCAGGCAAATTTCTCAAATGACTTTCTACTGCTTTAACACGATCTGCCTTCTAAATATTTACCAATTTTCTAAATGTACTGAAACAACGTAGGCGGAACCAAATAGCTTAAAGGAAGTTGTGGTGACTGTCGATCACCTACTAACAGGTTGTTTAGTAAACTAACAGGTTGCTTGCTGTCTGAACAACGTTAGTTTGACTGACCACACATCGCAAGCAACCTGTTAGCAGGGTGACTGTTTGTTACCTGCTGCTGATGTTGAGAAAATAACCATTATATCACTGATCATCAGAGTGTACTGAACCATATGAAATTCAAACGTTCAGGTGCATTAAATAAACATGCAATATGCAAAATGTCTTCCTTATGACATGTCATTGGCCTTTAACTACCAGGAAACATGGTCCTTCCTGGTGCTTCAATCACTACTATTCACCATCCAGCCCTGAATGAAAACGTTAGTGCTTCTGCTAGTTATCGTGCAGCAGTTGTGTAATGTTTATCTCCATAGGGCTAATTTGAATACGTTTGTATTAAAGGAGCAGAGTAACCTTTGTATATCCTCATGGTAGGGGTAAATGCAATGCTACGAAATAAAAAAAGAAAATAAAATCTGAATCTCTGCCCAGTTGCAATAGAAAACCTTAATGTAAATACCCAAATGTAATGCATATTATAACTGATAGCATTCTTTGCCTCTAGCTGCAGAGCAAAAAGCAATTTTTATTATACAGTGGAATCCAAAAGTCTGAAACAAACTTGAAAATATGATATTTATGATTTTCACATCTAATTAAATATAATAATTTTCAATTATTGTTTTTCATTAGGCTATACAGTGCACAGAAAATAATACACCGCACCTAAGTATCCATACAAAATACAAAATAAACTATAATATTGACAACACAACATTTACATGTAACATTTTGAATATTAAATACTAGTATTATGGGCTATCTTAGAGCAAACTGGCTCACAACTAGGAGTTTCTGGGAGTGAAAACAATCAAAATATTTATATAAAGCCAGGGCATGGCAATTTTATTGTAGGAGTAAATGTAGCAGGATTTTAAGAGTGCTTGTAACTTTATCATTATCATCATAGCTTTCCGTAACTGACTGTCTAACCAAATCTGGTATAAAACACCCAAATAGTAAATAAGCAACACTATTTTGAGTAGCATGTTGACCTCGAGAAGATACTGAATTGCATTGTTCCTATCTGTATGAGCCTTGCTGCTCTATTGTTATTTTTAGAAGCAGTAGCATTTTACAATCCCTCACGTTTGCAGCATACGTCAGGCTCCCTGGAGGTAAGGATCGCCCCAGTAAGAATAGAAACAGTTACGTCACTGGGTTGGTTTGATCACATAGGTCCACTTCAGGGGGAGTTTGAAGGCTTTATAGATTGATGGGGCCCTGGGAAGTGGTTAGTCAGCAAAAGGTTCAGCCTCCTCTGTCCTGTGGATGCTAAATGAATGAGGTCCAGTGAGTTCAGCTCTCTGCTGGCTGCCTGACTTTACTGGTTATACACCACTGTCAGTGATGACTGCTGTCAGCTCTTTGTCAAGAGTGTTTGTGGTTTAACGGTGGTGAAGTGCAGGTGTGTTTGTCGAAGACTCATATAAAAGATGTATGGTATGGATGATGTTTTTATGATTTAGACTTGATGGAATGATTTACTGGGCAATCTTTATTGATTACAGAAAAGGAAGTTGATGGGGACGCAGTTGGTGGCCAACAGTTTTATCTAGGACAATTATCTTAATGTTTGCCCTCTAAGACTGATATGTTATGTTGATTTGATGATGAGGATGCATTTATGTTCCATAAAATCCCTGCTAATTGACAGCTTGTATTGTTTGTCTCAGCTGTCTCTGGATCCCACTCTGTTTCTATATAACCCAATCACAATATTTGATCAAGCAAAATGGGGCTCCAGACTAATGACCAGGGAATCTTTGGCTCCTAAAATTAGGACTAAACTTCCAAATTAGAGAATCGCTCAAATTAGACAAAAAAGTGAAAAGTGTCCATTTACTTGTTTTTTATTTTATTTTTTTGAGTGAATCAAACCAAAATTAGAATGCTTTTTTTATCACTATTGTAAAATTTACATTGCAAAGGTGCCAAAGAAGTGCTTCTGAAGTGCCAGTTAGGTGTCTTAATTCTACACTCAACAGCTATACTCTGATACTAGGGTCTATATACTGTGATAGTGGATAATTTTGTCTGGATTTTATGCAGCATTGTGTCTTTACACTCGATTTTGAGCAGGCATGGAGTATTCTTGAAGGACATATTGTCCCCTTTTTAAAAGATGTAATATAAGTCTCAGGTGTCTCAGAAACTTGTCTGTGAATTTTCAAAGAAAAAAACATACTGTTTTGATGCATGTATCTTTAAATGCAAATGAGCTGCTGCACCCCACACCGCTAATGATTAAAATAAGAAATGGAATGGATGGACTTTTACCACAATAGAGGGTATGCATTGATGCACTTTCCCGCTTGAACACATCACCTCAGCTGGACTGAAGAGTGGCAGAAGAGCTGTTGCGTGACTGGATTTAAGGGGATACTGTGAGAACGCCAATAAAACAAACGATTATCAGTTTAAACTAAAGTTTGGACTCAATGTGTTTCATGACATTTATGCCTGTATCCAGTTGTTTCTGTGAATTGTAGAGATCCATTTACTTCTGTTCTGTAGCTTTTGGCAGTCTGTTTAAATGTGCCTCAGATTTCTTATTAAATCTATTTATACCTTCAATCCCCAAGCTCTGTCTTGTTCACTCTGAAAAGCAATGCTGCCGCTTAGTGTTGTATGTTCAAAACAATATAAGTTAATTTTGCATAATAGGTCCCCTTTAACTCGGCTGGATGCATTTGGTTTGATTCCCTAATTATGTTTAGTATAAAATTGTTTTCCAATTGTATAATGTGATAATTATGATAATTATGTATTTTTTTTTTTACTTAGAAAACCCTTTACTATACAGTAAATTCAGTTCAGAATGTGTAACTTTAGGAATGTATTGTCATATGAACAAACAATCGGTAATAAACACATCACAGTAACGACTTTGTTCATTTTCAAATTAGATATGACCAAAAATAATTAGCAGTTTATTTATTAACGTGTCAGTTGTTCAATCGATTCAAAGCGATACCTTTTGAGATGGAGACTTATTCTTATTCTAAGACTCATCATCAGATCATTGTTCATAAACCATTGTTATTTGTTGCGCAATGAAAGAATTTAAATGTAAAGATTTAAATATTTTAAATTGACGTTTCAATTTATTTTTTTTAAATAAATTTATTTATGACTCTTTTGGTCACAGTCTGGAGCCCTGATTAAACCCCTTCTCCCACTAGTCTAGGTGACTGTTCCTGTTTTTTTTTTTTTTAACAAAGCGATATCCCCACCTCCTCCTACCCCATCATAAAAAAATTCCCATTTCATTGAGTCTGTGTTATGGATTTTGTTACGGTCCCTGCTCGAAGGATGGATGAATATTAACCCAAAATTGGTATTTTAATGCCTCGACTGCCTTTACCTTATGCCAAGTGCAACACAGACTGACCTACTTCCTACAAGCTTCAATCCCTGAACAATTGGTTGAGGCAGGGATGGGCAAAACTGTCTGCGTAACTATGGATACAGAGATAGAAAGAGAGACAAGATAGATGGATAAAGCGAGAACGAGAGAGTCAAGACACGGACAGCAGTCTGATAACTGGACAGTCATCAAGAGAGAGAGTGAGTTAGTTATGCCAGCTGTCTGAATTATACATGCAGACTGTACATTAATGAATGTGTTCTGTGAGCTGGTTTTATGCAGTGATCTCACTAATAGAAATGCAGATACTCTACCATTTTTATCATTAAAAATTCACTTTGGGAATGTGGAGATGAGGGTATTGCACATTTCTTTCCATTAAGAACGTCTGCTAAAATGCTGTCTATAAGGCTCAGATGTCCTATGATGACATTACATCATAGATTTGTGGAATAATAATGTAACGTTTACCTATGTGCTAAATATATTAACATAAGCATTATAAGACAACATACCATTTACCGAATAGCATTACAGAAACTCTGCGTTCTTTTACGTCAGTTCTGTCAGTGTTGTGTAAGAATAGAGTAT